AAACTTAATTTCTTTTAGACAATAACTTTTCTCTGATATATAACCATACAAAACACTTATAACACATAGTTTTATTAAGCTAGCTATGTCATCAGATAAGATTCATTAACAGTATATTTTGAAAAACTGTCTGCTGAGCATGGTGGCTCACACCTATAATCCCAGCACTTTGGGAGGCCGAGGCAGGAGGATCATAAGGTCATGAGTTCAAGACCAGCCTGGCTAACATGGTGACACCCACTCTTTACTAAAACAAAAACTTAGCTGGGTGTGGTGATAGGTGCCTATAATCCTAGCTACTTGGGAAGCTGAGGAAGAAGAATTGTTTGAACCCCGGAAGCATAAGTTGCAGTGAGCCGAGATTGGGCCATTGTATTCAAGCCTGGGTGACAGGGCAAGACTCTGTCTCACAAAAAAGAAAGAGAAAAGAGAAAATGTCATATCGCTTCTCCATTGCTGGAATATAAACTCTCATAGCCTATGATATGGGCTAGGACTTTGCCAATCAGTGACTGTTCAGCACATCTAGATTTTTTTTTCTCTTGTATTTAGCAGTAAGATGAATTCTTTCTTGGGCGCTGGTGACAACATGTCTATTACTAGGACCTATTCTGCCAAAAGTTGGCACTGAACAGAGCCTGGGGAGTCTTTCTTACATAGCAGTAAATAGAAGGGTGGGTATGGGGCGTCAGGGGCAGCCTTTAAAATCAATTTTTATTCTGCTTAAAGTTAAATGGAATGGTATGACCTTACTTGTAGGCATCTCCCTGTGGCACAGTTCCATGAAAATAAGCTCTATATTGATCCCTAACGTTAGTACGTCTATTAAACTAAGTCCTTCCAATGTATTGAAGTCTTTAAAAAATATTTTGTCAGTGTTACTGCTTTGTAAGAGTGTAATCGCTTTAAATATTATTATTCTTAGATAAGATCATTTGGGGGAGAAGAAATTTTATTTTATTTTTGAATATTTCCTCTTTGTCTAACGGTTCTCTTTATAACAATGTAAGCTGCATTTAAGAAAGAAATTTTCCAGGCCGGGCACGGTGGCTCACACCTGTAATCCCAGCACTTTGGGAGGCCGAGGCGGGTGGATCACAAGGTCAAGAGATCGAGACCATCCTGGTCGAAATGGTGAAACCCCGTCTCTACTAAAGACACAAAAAATTAGCTGGGCGTGGTGGCGCGTGCCTGTAATCCCAGTACTCGGGAGGCTGAGGCAGGAGAATTGCCTGAACCCAGGAAGCGGAGGTTGCAGTGAGCCGAGATTGCGCCATTGCACTCCCGCCTGGGTAACAAGAGCGAAATTCCATCTCAAAAAAAAAAAAAAAGAAAAAGAAAGAAAGAAATTTTCCAGTCTATTAATTATACAAACTCTTGAGCACCACATTTGCTGTGTCCTATTTATCCTTTCTCTTCTTTTGTGGTGCTTCCCTTTCTGTGGGATGCCATACCTTCCACTGCTTTCTTAACCTAGTCTTCATGGTCATCTACCTTTACTGAGAGCTCACGTCCTCCTAGTTGGACACAATACTAAAAGCTGAGGAATTAATTTTAACGAAACACATGTTTCTGTATAATCCAGTCTTGGTAAATCTGGAAATGCTCTTCATGGAGATAGCATCCAAGCTAAGCTGAAGGGATGAATAGGAGATAGCCAGGTGAAAATGGGGGCAAGAACACATTGCAGGATGTGCACAGGCCTTGAGGCGGAAAGAACAGGGTGCAGCTGGGAAGCCATTGGTAATTTTGTACAGTTTAAAGAATAGGCTTAAAAGATGAGAAGCATTAGAAATAAGTTGGAGACAGAAACTCATGAAGGGCTTCAGGCATGAAGAAAATAATTCAGCTTTTGTTTGAAGGGTAGACAGCAACCATTTTAGCATTAGTCAGTAAACTAACATATTCCAATTTATGCCCTAATGGTATCTCTGGAAAGAGATAGAGAATGGTTTGAAGAAGGTAATTTTAGGAAAAAAAAAAAATAAATTACTATTATTGTTAAATTCAGTTTGGTTTGATACTATTATCTTTAAAAATCTGAAATCTAAATTATTTAAATAGAGGATAATGATACATTATTAAATCCATCTAATGTACGTATATATTCAAAATGGTAAGTCTAAAGTCACAGCAAGCAAAAATCTTTCAGTTGTGTGCCATGGCCCCTTGTGCATGATTTGTGTAGTTGAGACAATAGGCTGGAGAAGCTTTGCACCACATGTGTAGCTATATAGTCTGTCATCCTGAAAATGATTGCTGAACAAACCTTTTCTTCTCCCAGAGAGTTATATGCTAATTAAAATATCTAATTTAAGAAAGGTGCATTCATTTAGAAAGCATTCATCAGTACCTACATAATCCTCAAGAAGGGAAAGAAGACAATTGAAAAATAGAGCTTCTATTTTAAAAGTAATTCTTACTCTAGTTCAGAGACGTCCCAAACAAGTTCATTTGAGCATGAGAGTATTTGACTAATAACAGGTAACTGCTCTGAATCTCCATTTTTACATGATCAAACTAAAGAAGACAGAAGAACTAGCAATGCTTTGTTTGAAACAAAAACTGGAGCTCATTATCAATGAAAAGATTGTAGTCCCTGTCAAAAAATTAAGTTTCTCAAAATGGTCCCTTCAGAACTACAAGTGAGAGCTGACATTATTTTCTTTAAAGGAGTTGGAGAAAATAGTTGGAATTAGCTTTTAACTATTGCCTTACTACTTCCCTACCTCAGTTCATTTTCTGCTATTGTGACAATTCCCAAGAAGGGGTAATTTATAAAGAACAGAATCGTTTCTTATAGATCTAGAGGCTGAAAAGTTCAAGGTCAAGGAGCCCACAGATGGCAGAAGTCTTCTTGCTGCATCATCCCATGGCAGAAGGCAGAAGGGCAAGAGAGCATACAGCTGGGGGAAGGGTGGAGGTGTGGGGGGGGGCAAACACAGGCTCTTATCAGGAACCCGTTTCTGAGATAACCAACCCTCTCCCACAATAATGGCATTAATCCCCCCATATAGGTCCCACTTTTCAACACTCTTGCACTGGGGATGAAGTTTCTAACAGATGAACTGTGAGGGACACATCTAAACTGTAGCATTCCCCAAGTAGTAGGAGGTCCAAAAGCATTTTTCTGGCATCAGGAAAAATCAGCACAAAATGTCCTTACATCCCAGCAGTGACACCATTGACACATATTTTTAAAGCTAACATTTTTTAAAATTTAATTTTCAAGTTACTCAGTTTTCTTAATTGTAAGTAATGTTTTCTTTTTAAACCCTTTGATTGATTTGATATGCAAATTATACATATTAGAGTCATTTTTATTGTTTATAGTTTTAAGCATTTACTTACACTTAATATTTTGAAATATATTATTAAATTTTATGTTAGGATTGTGTTATATGTTTAGTATCAACTTATTTTATGAATCATGAGCTTGGATTTGGCAAAACTAAATAGTGAAATCATTATATTGCCATTTTTCTCTGCTATTGCTTTCATCAACACAAAGTTGATGATGGGAAGCTGAATGTAATGGTGATTAGAGAGAGAAAGAAAAAAATATCTAGTTTCAGATAGAGACATTTGACAGAATCAAAAAGACTTGGTTATTGGGGAGATATGATATATGTGGAAGAAAAAGGGAAAATAAGATACTCTGCCTTCTTGTATAAACTTGAGTAGATGTAATTCTGAACATTACTATTATGAAAAGGGGCCATGAGAGAAAGAGAAGGACAGTTGAGAAGAGTGTGAGGGAAAATAGAAAAAAGAGGCAAAAAGACACATAATAAACAGCATCACTTCAGAAAATACTACAATTTCAGTGATTAAATGTTCGAAAATATCCCATTCCTCTATCATCTCTATCCTGTTTCTTTAAAAGCTTTATTTATACCAAATACGTTGTGTTGAATCTGGGACCTCCTCGGGGCAACAGAGGCGGTGATATTTTAAGGGAAGTAGAAAATGAATTACAAACAGCTAGAGGCTCATATCAGAATGCCCTCCATCTCCTTAAACCTGAGTGATCTTGAATCAGACTGGAGCCAATATCCCTAAAGTTTATTGCCAATGAGTGAGGTTAGCAGCAGTTTCTAATCTTATAGCTAGCAATGCAGTCTGTATCTAGGAAGGATAAGCATACTCTTGTATTCCCATGATGAGAATATGAATATATTTTCCCAAAGATGAGTTTTTGCAGTGATTATTTCCATAGTATTGTTAGCCTATTCCTTGGAAACATTGTAGGTTCAATTACCTGACAAATAACCTAACTACTTTTATTTGGACCTTGGAATACATTTTCCCATTCAAAAAATCTTGCTAGAGGATAATTTAGGGTCATAATTATTCGGAAACTGTTTCTACTTTACATTAGTAAAAATCAAATTTAAAAATTGTGTGAAGGTGAATCAGTCCTAAGAGCCATCAAATAGATCACTAAGCTACTCCAGTTTGCGTTTAAGGAGACTATATTCAGAATTGCTCTTTATTTTTTGGCTTGTCAGCAGTTTAATTTCTGTTTCCTCTTTTTTTCCCTCTCCTCTATTTGCTGCATATTTAGAGATGCATGTTATGCTTCATGTGAAAATAATATTTTGTATAGCTCCTTTCCCTTCTATACAAAGTTTGATAATTCTAAGGAGAGGACTTAACTTTTTAATCCTCTAATTGTCAAAAAGGCTGAGAGCATTAAGAAGCTTACTGAAGAGTTGAGTTGTGCTGTAATTTTGTTTTCTGGGATTTGAGTTTCAAAAAAGAACCATTAAAAAACCTATGTTTGGCAGTGGTCAGATGGTTGTTTTCATACTCAGGTGGCACTCTGATACCTTGGTATTGGCTTATTTTGCCATGTTTACAATGAAAATCAGATTGAGGACTTCTAGAGTTGTAAAGTCTTTGAACTGTCAAATAAAAATAATTTCAAAAGAATAAGACATCTTGAGGTCCTACTGTGAACCAGCAATACAGGTGTTTTCTTTCTAATTTTATTTCAGATATCTCTACCACAGGACCTCTTGGCATGGGAAGCACAACCACCAGTACCACCCTTCGGACCACAACTTTGGGCCCAGGAAGGAGTACCACGCCGTCAGTGTCAGGAAGGAGAAACCGGAGTACTAGCACCCCATCTCCAGCTGTCGAGGTGCTTGATGACATGACCACACACTTTCCATCAGCATCGTCCCAAATCCCAGCTCTCGAAGAGAGCTGTGAGGCTGTGGAAGCCCGAGAAATCATGTGGTTTAAGACTCGTCAAGGACAGATAGCAAAGCAGCCATGCCCTGCAGGAACTATAGGCAAGTCTGCGCTAAAGCACTAAATTAAAACTGTTTTGTTACTTTGGCTTCATTTTCTAGTGTTCTTTGCCTTTTCTTTCTTCCCTTCCTTCCTTTCTTCTTTCTTTCTTTCCTTCTTTCTTCTTTCTTTCTTTCTTTCTCTCTCTTCTTTCCTTCTTTTAGTTACAACATATTTTATTACTTCACATTTGACTAAATTCTGAACTCAGCTAAATTACAATTTAAACCTATATAGTTTCTAGAGTTTGAATACACAACCTGATTAAGTCACAGGTAACCTGTGAGAACTGGACTCTGCTCCCATAGTTTCAGGTCTCTGGGTAGAGGTAAAGTTAGGCTGTAGACGTTCTGACTACTCCAGAGGCTCAGCCTTCCTATGCAGCAGTCCAGAGGGGATCACGTGATTGCTGGGAGTTAGTCTCACGTTTGTCATCAACCGACAGACATTGATTGCAGAAAATGGGGTCGAGGACTTCTATATTCGAAGATTATCATGGAAAAGACCTAACATGTAACAAAAGAGAAAATTTGACTGTCCTTTTTATCAGCCATTGTAGTTGTCCTCTAGTGAGTGGTCAAAGCTCTTAATACTGTCAGGGACCATACTGCAGGAGTCAACCTGTCACTCACTGAGTCATCCACCAGAGAACAGTTCTGCATTGTTTCCTCTAGGGGATAAAGAAAAACTCAATTCTTCCTGGCCTTTTTTTTTTTTTTTTTTTTTTTTTTTGAGATGGAGTTTCGCTCTTGTTACCCAGGCAGGAGTGCAATGGCGCGATCTCGGCTCACCGCAACCTCCGTCTCCTGGGTTCAGGCAATTCTCCTACCTCAGCCTCCTGAGTAGCTGAGATTACAGGCACGCGCCACCGTGCCCAGCTAATTTTTTGTATTTTTAGTAGAGACAGGGTTCCACCATATTGACCAGGATGGTCTCGATCTCTTGACCTTGTGATCCGCCCGCCTCGGCCTCCCAAAGTGCTGGGATTACAGGCGTGAGCCACCGCGCCCGAGTCTCACTCTGTTGCCCAGGCTGGAGTGCAGTGGTGTGATCTTGGCTCACTGCAACCTCCACCTCATGGGTCCAAGAAATTCTCCAAGCCTCAGCTTCCCAAGTAGCTGGAATTACAGGCGCCACCACCACGCCAGGGTAATTTCTTTTGTATTTTTCACCATATTGGCCAGGCTTCTCTCAAACTCCTGACCTCCAGTCATGCACCCACCTCGGCCTCCCAAAGTGCTGGGATTACAGTTGTGAGCCACTGTGCCTGGCCTTCTTTGCCTATTTTATTACTGATATTCATAATATCTTCACATGTAATCATATTATTATTTATTATGTTTAAGGCAAAGGAATACTGATTTTCTTATTGTTGCATACATTGGTATTCATAAACGAATACTTGGCACATTTGCATTATTCTCTAAAATATGTATATAAGAGAAATTCACAATGCATGTTACCCAACATTCTTGGGTATTATTGATTTGGATACTTTAAGGAAAAAAGTTTTTTTTAGAAAATTCTGCTATGGGTATATCATTTCAGATTTCATGGTATAGGAAATGGTGGGTGGGAAGACCAAAAGGTATCATGTTTTTTATAAAAAATACACTTTTTTCCAGCAAAATAGTTTAAAATTTTAAAAAATATTTATTTTCTTTAGGAAAAGAAGGGAGACTATTTATTTGTAAAGATTCCTGTGATACTGGAATCAGAGAACAGTTGAAAACCACCTTCTTTCTTAGCCGTTCTCTTAGTTCTGGGCCTCAGTTTCTTTACTTCTAAAAGAGAAATAATAATAGTCCCCTGCTGCAGCCAGGGGCTACTATTTTGTTTTGAAGATTAGTGAAACACCTTATTTGAAAGCACTTTGCTCTACAGAAATGTCATGATTTTTCTGTGGGAACTGGAGAAGATATTTTCTGAAGCCCTCACGGGTTACTGTCAACACACCCCATCTTATTTTTAGCCCCCTGTCCATCCTGTTATGCCTTTGTGTAGGCCCCTACAGTCTTTCAGTTGAGTTATTGTGATAGCTTCCTCACCATCACTCCACATCACTCTCTCAAATTCATCTTCCATCTTTCCACCAGAGATATCTTTCAGAAACTTAAATTTGCTCATTATCTATCTCCTCTTTCAGTATTCACATTGATTTTCAGCACCCACAAATGATAGACAAGGGAGTTTATGATCTGGTCTACTTTTCCAGTTTCATTAAATACAACTCCCTAGTCCAGTAGACCCCAGTTCATAAAAACTTGAAGTTTCCCAAAGAGCGTATGTTTCCCCAACTGGAGTATCCTTTTCCACCTTCTGGTTTTCCTGAAAAACCTGCACATTGATTGCTTTAAGACTCATCTGCTGTGTTGCCTCTATAAAGTCAAGCACTAAGCTCCATGGAGGCACATACCATGTCATCTCATGCATGAATTAAAAACTGTCCCCATCCCTAGTGTGGCTGCCACAAGTGCTTCAAACATCTTGTATGTTTTTGTTTGGAGTACTGTAATTCTCCAGTGCTAAATGCTTGCCTGACATTGTATCTGGAGTTTTAATAAACATTATATTAATTTAATTATCTCATTTTTATCTTTGCTCATATTTAAATATACCGTGGATGTGAAGTCATTCTAAGTAAAAGAAACATACATTTCTCTCATTATTACAGGTGTATCAACTTATCTGTGCCTTGCTCCTGATGGAATTTGGGATCCCCAAGGACCTGATCTCAGCAACTGTTCTTCTCCTTGGGTCAACCATATAACACAGAAGGTAAATCTTGTGACTGACAAGAAAGTCTTTGCTAAAACTGTATCATCTGTTGTTGATGATTGCTGGAAACAAAAGCATCAAGAATTCTTTTAAAATCCACATAGAAAACTTCTACCATTTTAATTTAATTTCACATTTAATGACAACCTCTAATATGTTATGAGCTAATTCTAGAATTTTGTAGTTTTTAAAGTGCAAATCCATGAATTTCCTCTTATGCTGCTTATAATAATTTTATTATTAATAAAAATTCTATGGTATTGTGAACTACAGATATAAAATTCCAAGAGGCATTATAAATTAAGCAAGTAAAAGTTTCTAGCATACATACATATGGGTTTTCCTGTGGAAGTAATAATTACAATTTTTAAAAGTCTACCTTTGGAATCTTAAGCCATCTGATAAATGTTCTGTAACCTAATCATTTATCAATGTTAAAAGTATACACATGTGTGACAGGATCTTGCAGACTCAAATTTGCAGGGCTTATTTGGTTGCAATATGTTGAACATTTTCATTATTAATGCACTGTGGGGCTTTGAATTGATTTCATTACAAACAGAGACCAGATGTGCATTTATGCCAAAAGGGTTATGGGATGAATCCTTATTATAGCAATTTATGTGGATTTATGCACTCCTAAAATGGAGAGTCCTTCTATGGCACATTAGCTATGCTGAGGAATTTCTGAGAGAGATTTTTTTCCCAAGAAATATTACAAATGATGGCCTTACTAAAAGCCTGCCTGTGTCATTTGCTCTTTTCTCTATTTGTTTTTAACCAGACTTATCCTCAATAATATACTGTATAATAATCCATAAATATCTACCCAGTAGATCATTTAGCAGATGAGCCATAACTATCTATTTATCCTAAATCATGGAAGAATAGTGGTTATATTGACTCTAGTTACCCTCTTACATATGCATCTCCATACTTGTTGCTATTCATAATGATGCTTCTCCAATTTCAGCACTGTTCCTGCCACAGTTTTTATGTCCTTTGATTTTATTACAATGTAGCTCAGACCCCAGGGCAAATAACTCTTGCTGGATGTGATCAGATTAAGAGATCAGTAGCATATCTCCTTACATTAGCAATTCTTTAAGAACAGTCCCTAGATACTTAGCCCAGGGGTTAATATAAATTCAATAAAAATTCTTCTAGAAGGCTGAATGTTTTCATGATAATGTCTGAATATAGTTGGACTATTTTATTGCAGAAATTATGAGGTGACTTTAACTGATAATGATGCTTAATTCTTTTCTTTCTTCTGCAGCCCAGCTAATCTTAGGACAGAAGATAATTCCTTTCAAAGACCAGACAGCTGTTTTCCATTTGATTTATGGACAGGATGTTTTTGTTTTGTAAAAAAAAACCTTCTATTCTTCCAGAGCATTTTTGTTTAATCCTACAGAGTCTATAAAACTATGTTATGTGATCATTTTGTTAAACTTAAAGAACTTAGGTGTTTGGAATTTATTTAAAAAAAAAACAACTTAGATTGATTATTCAGAAGTTTATAAAATCTTAAAAAGTATAACAAGAGGCTTTTGGGCACTCTAAATCAGCTTATGTGACTTATTCAAGGTCAGTGGTGGAGCTGATATTTTAGCCAAGACCACCTTCATGAAGACATCATGCTTAACCACAGCACTAGCTAAACCATGGAGATCTTATAATTGGCTTCATATCCTTACCCTTAGTTACCTATGCTCTCCCTCTGTCCTCTGTCTACCCCTTTTACTTGGTCGTGTCCTTTATGCCTCCAAATATGTATGTTACTCATTGAATATAAATTATAGTTGAGCAGGTTTCTTTACCACAAAACTCCAACACTTTTAAATATTGGTAATGAAAACTTCTAAGAATCTGTTGTAACGTTCTTAGGATTATTTATCTATATTTTATCTCCCTCTTCCCCAGATTGTCTTTCATAGAATTTACCCCTTTTCTCATCTCCATCCTCTCATTGTGATAGCTGTGTAGAACCAAGGTCCTCACAGATGGAACACTTGAGAAGATTTTGTTTGTGATGGTATTGAGCTGTAAAGGCAAACTGCAGGGGATTGAACAGGAGGCCAGAGCTTGTAGCAGGGGAGAAGCTGTTCCCAACTCCCAGTCTGTAGGGTGCTGGATCAAAGGAGTGACCAGAAATAAGGAGCACTTTGTCCTGGGAAAGAAAGATGATCTTAAGGCAAGGGACACAACCTAGACCCAGGTGGCCTTTCAGAAAGGAACCCAGGAGAATGAATACCCTGACATACCTGCCTCTGCCCTCCATTTACCCACAAGCTACCCCACTGGGCAAACCCAACCAGAAGCCAAAGAAGGACACACTTAATGACTGTCATATAAGTCCACCTAGTAGGGCAGAAGGCAGGATGAAGTAGGGTAAAGAGTAGCTGGGAACTAGCAAATGAAAGGTTCCCAACAGAGTCCTCGGCTTTTCTCCACTCCTGTCTCTCACCCCTCTTCCATTTCCCACTGAATCAGCATTGTTGCCTGGGGTAAATAACCATGGCTCATCATCTAGAACCAAGAAGATTAAGGACACACACAAGAAATGAGTTTAGGATCGGAGGTTTAATAGGCAAAGGAAGAGAAAGGAGAACAGCTCTCTCTCTCTCTTGTGAGAGAGAGAAGGGCTCCAGAATGGGAATTCTGGCCCAGAGTGGAGTGCACCAAATTTCATAGGCAGGCTTGAGGAGGCAGTGTCTGATTTATGTAGGGCCCAGGATTGGTTGGACCAGGTATGATGTTTACATAGCCGGCTGGGAAGGCTAGCCACCCCACCCTAATCTTTTTTTTTTTTTTTTTAAGGAAGTCTCCAAGGCTGGAATGTAGTGGCACAATCTTGGCTCAATGCAACCTCTGCCTCCCCATTTCAAGCAGTTCTTCTGCCTCATCAGCATCTCGATGCTGGGACTATAGGCAAATGCCACCACACCCGGCTAATTTTTCGTATTTTAGTGGAGATGAAGTTTCATCATGTTTCCCAGGCTGGTCTCAAACTCCTGGGCTCAGGTTGTCTGCCCACCTGGGATTCCCGAAGTGCTAGGATTATAGGCGTGAGCCACCTCACCCAGGCACCCTAATCTTGTTATGCAAATGGGCCTTGCACTTGGCCGAGCCATGTTGTCTGCTCCTTACTGTACACATGGCTGGGAAAGAGAAGGAAAGACGGAACCCCCATTTTGAACATGCCTAGTTCCAGGTAGCCTTTTCCTGTTGTCACAGCTGCCAGCATTCATCTGTGCAAGCTTCTAGATTGCCTTTCTATCTCTGCAGCCCGATTTACAGGCTACACTTTGTTAGAAAATAAATGACTTTGGGGATGCTTTGAATGAAAACAAACCTTACTGAAGACTTCCTTACCCTCACTATCTGCCTGAATAATTTCTTTTTAACTCCTGTATCACAGTCTCCTTCTACACCCTTTGCCCTTTCCCTCCCCTCTCCTCCCTCTTTGATTTCCTTTTTCCGCCATCTCTGCTCTTATTTTCTACCTCTCTCCTTTACTGTCACTGATTTTTTTTCTGCCACTTTGAAAAATTGAAGTAAAATAGATACCTTTAATATTTCATTCTTCCGGCTACCCTCCTCCTGCTGCCAGTATAGTTCTGTGAATTTCAAACTTGTAAAGCAAAAGGACAAAAAAATCCCATACACGTGTGTGTGTGTGTGTGTGTGTGTGTGTGTGTATTTTAAATTGTAGTTTTCTTCTTCTCAGGGATTTTGTCAATGAAATGTACCGTGAAGGGTGAATCATTTCTGTCTCAGTCCATTTGGGCTGCTATAGTTTATGGTTAAACAAAAAAATCGTAGACTAGGCAGCTTATAAACAACAGAAGTATATTTGCCATGGTTCTGTAGGATGGAATGTCCAAGATCAAGGTGCCAGCTGATCCTTTGTCTGGTGAGGGCCTGCTTTCTTGTTCATTGGCAGCACCTTCTCACTTAATCCTCATATGGTGTAAGGGACAGCTCTCCGGGGCCTCATTTATAAGAGCACTAATCCCAGTCATTAGGACTCTGCCCTCCTGACCTAATCACTTTCCAAAGGCCCCACCACTTAACACTATCACATTGAGGATTCCATTTTAACATGTGAATTTTTCAAGGGACACAAACATTCAGACCGCAGCAACCACTTTCTCATCTTTACAGTGCCTATGAAGAACTCCTGAGGACATGGAAGGAAAGAGCACTGACCTGAGGATCTTAATAACTGAGTTATGGCGGACATGTCATTAACCTCTGGATCAGTTTCCACATATGTGAAATGGAGTTGATCATTAATTTTATTATCAGCAGGTGCTCGCTGTATATCACCAACCTTGTAGATAGCATAGGTAGCAATTATACTCAAGTAAATGAATCAAGTTGCTGATGTTAGTTCAAACAAGGAAATTTTACATTTACATTTTCTTGAAAACATGGATTATGTTTTTTCCCCCAGCAATCAGGCCAGATGGGATAAAACAGGCAAAGACTCTTGATGGTTTCAATTCACAAAGGAATTTGGGTCACTTATATACTTGTGAAGTTAGAGATTAAATTCTGTGTGACACTAAAGAGTAGATTTCTTTTCACTAGAAACAATGTAAACTTTTAAAGTTAGAATACCACAAAGGAATCTGTTGCAAATAAACTAGCTGGAATACATTCATAAAGATGAGATTTAATACAAAAACATAATTTGTACAGAAGAGAAAGGAGAAAAGCATAAGTTGTCCAAAGGGGACCTTTACTCCAACAGCAAGATAGAGAAAAGGAGAGGGAGAGTGAGAGGGAAAGGAAGGCCAGTAGGCAGGTAGATGGAAGTATTGATGGATGTAGGTGGGTTGATGGATGAATGGATGGAAATGTAGGTAGAAGGATAAATTAATAGGCAGATAGATACCTACATACATATCTATATACGTATCTACATACATTGGAAGATAGATATGTCTTCAAATTAGTGCTTTAAAAACAGTTTCCAGTTTTTACTGAAA